CTCATAAACTCTGATGCTAATCTCCAACACAGCCACCAGGGCAGCTTCACAGATCCTGCACATGCGCTAATGCTCAACATATCCTTCTTATGATCCACAAACTCATCCAAGCCGTCCTCGGCTCAATAGCTCGGAGAGATTACACAGCATGTGCTGTGAAAGACATGATGTCGGTCTTTCATGTTTTTAATTGGCTCGTGTTTCTTTCAATCGTTGAGAGTAGACGTTGTATGACGAGATGATTGAAAGCCATGAAATTAGTGGTTACTAACGTCTGCTGTAGCGCAAGGAAAATAACGGTTGGAGAGCAAAAACTGAGTATTCACAGCAGGGATTCATACTACTCAAAGTCTTACTGTATGTTTGGTGAACACTTGAGAAAATGAAAACAAACTTAGTGGTTTTTATATGGGATTTCAATGTGATTTTTTTCCGCCCTCCTACACCTATCAATGACAAGCCTGAGTTTTGGGGGGTTTTGACTCTGGTTCAACGCAGATGTGTATGATATTAGCACAGTGAGCACAGCATGCATAATGTCCTCTTTATTATTCCTGTATATTGTTTAGATGTGGTTGTTTTTTTTTTTTTTTTGGCACGGCAGGTCCTGAATCAGACGTCCAGGCTGGAGATCCAGATGCTAGAAAATTCTCTTTCCACTAACAAGTTGGAGATGCAGCTGATGGTTCAGACCAATGAGATCAGCAAACTGCACGACAAAAACAAGTAAGTATATAACAACGTAGGACTAGCCTTTCATCGAATGAACTCCTTGCCTTTTTTTCTTCTGATATTTATTTGTCTCGGAAATCACGTAAAAATGACATTAAGAACAGCCAAACTTACGGCAATCATGGGATAAACTTAACTAGCCTCACAGACCATTTGCTCCAAACAAACTGACACTCATCGTGCCCTTGGTCAAAACTGTTTCCCCGTGTTGACTACTCAAGTTGTTACCAAGAGTTTTCAACACTCCTGGCAAACAAAGCCAATTCTAAGATTGAAGATGTTTATTGTCCCCAAAATCCTCCTCATGCATATCACAGCTTCGTACGACCACATCCAAGGTCACGGACAACAACACATCAGATGTGGGTCTGACGTTCAAAATCTGAACAAACACCAGTGCAGTGTCGGGCCTGACTTTTATGGTTCTTTATGGTTCTTACTCAGCCATTTTTTCCAACACTCACGGCTTATGAAATAATAATCCAGGAACCAATAAATCCTGGTTTATTTGTGGTAAAGTTGGAATTCTTTTGCAGAAGTTTTGCTCCTGGCTGTGGGAAAACTTTCATTGAATTGAATGAGGATAAATCACCAACATTTCTTCCAAATTTCCCATTGTCCACTGGTGTTCCATTTAAATGGACTTGCCAGCGATACTTTCTCCCATCATGGAGTTAGGATTTGCACATCCATTTATATCTGTATGTCCAATGTAGCATTTTGATTTAATAAACTCAACTACCAGTTCCTACTGATTGAGTGACACTTTGTCCAATTTCCAAAACCATATTCCAGCTATAAAAATAAGATTTTTTTTAAATTTCTGTAATATTCAGACCAAAAACCTCTAGACTCAGGTTCTCTGAGGTGGGTCGTTGTACATGTTGTTGCAAAACTGAGGAGTTAAAATATGATTAGTGAAACATCTCAATGTCTCTGAGGCTTTACAGATTGTGGTTCAAACGGTATCCATAGAGATACAGCAATCACTTAAAAAATGAAAACAATATTTTAAGCAGAGTCTCTGTAGATTTTGATATAAATATTTCCTGGGCTCCATGAATTAGAGAAAATTTTGCCAAAACTGGAAAGATTATGACGAGTTCCCTCGTGACATATCATATTGACATTGCAAAATCTATTAGGAAACAACATAGAATCCAAAAGTCATTTGAGTCATCACCCACGTGAATGACAGTAAGTCAAAAAAAACTAAAAAAAACTAAACAGATAATTTAATAAAATTTTGCTCAAAAACACCCAAATGGTGACTAAAGTTAGTTCATATATGTGGGTGATATTATTACAATAACAAATTCTACAAAATACCTATCACTATAGGTCACCGCTTAGTCACAGTGTTTTGTATGTTTGTCAGACCGTCAGTTCAGCCACTGTGAAGGTTGTGCATCATTAGGATTATCTGCCATTACTCACTGAGTCAACTATGGCAAAATGCAAAAACTGCGTCTTCATCCCAGTTTGGTCTGACCCTGATTTGCACTTACTGTATAAAAATAAAACGTGCACATTCCATAATTGTTGTTTATGTGAAAATAAAACCGCAGAACAATATACAACAAATTACATCTTGTAAAAACAAATCCCACTCCAACTGCTTTGGACAACAAACCTTATTCAATCAGTCTCTGGCGATCGTAGCTTGACGTCGATTAAACAAATTAAACCCTGTGAAAACAATTTGCAGTAGATTGTGCTGACGATCATTTTGTGACCACGTTTTCTCTCCCGCAGCGTCCTGGAGGATAAGATGCAGGAGATGGAGCTGCGACACCGCGAGGAGCTGGAGACTCTGAAAAAAGAGAAGGGCAGTCTCCAGGTCCTGGTGGGTCGGCAGAGCGGGGTCATCAGAGAACTGGAGAACCAGCTGAGCCGAGCCACGGGCAACAGCACGGCCCTGCAGAGACAGCAGCAGGAGATGATGGACACTGTCCACAACCTGCTGCACCTCTGCTCCAAAGACGGAGGTAAGCTGGAACCGAAATGTGTCCAGAGGTTTAGAACCTCGTCGGCCCACGCGAGGGTCTTTGACTTAACAGCAGGTTTGGCATGGGTGTTGTACTACTGCCTTAGACGGGGAAAGTCATAACACATTAAAGGGGTAAGTAAATGTTTAATCTAGCGGACATGTCTGATAGCCTGGCAAAGCTACTGAGAAGAAATCCAGCAGCTCGAAGCTGGAATAATCAGTGAGATACTTAGATTGATGACAACCACAAGCAAAGCTGTGGAGTTTGATCTGAAGTGAAAATTCCAAGAGTTTGATTTACACTGTGCAGGAGCAGCCAGGAACCATTCTGTGCTCAAAGACAATAGAAAGCTGAGGCAATAGCAATGCTGGCCAGCAGGGGTCAGCTTCATAAAATGATATCCAACAGAATAGCTGTATCAGCGAGTGTGGCTGCTCACTGCTGTTAGAGCTAGAGAACGAGGACAGTAATAACCACAACCAATTACAGAAAGTTAATCTCTGGACCTATTTGGTGGCTAAATTTGTTTAGCACCAAAGCTACCCATCGGCTGCAAAAACAAGGAGCAACTGCAACGCTGCAACTGGCAGCAGTTGAACACTTAGATGGGTGACGCTACAGGAAGCCATTTTGGTACCAAACTTCCAAAGATCATAAAACAGACTAACGTATTTAGATTGTCACTTTTACCACAAATGGACAAATGGAATAACCCTGCACCAATGAAGGTGAAAAAGAAAAAAAAATAGCTAGCATCCTAAGAGAACAGCTAGCATGACTGCAATTTATAAATTTCCCGAAATTTCCCTAAAGCGAAATCAGAATAATCCAGCCTGTACTCACTCAGGAGGGTTCGTGTTTATGTTTCAGTGAAGGAGAGCCCACGTCAGTCAACTGTCAGTTGGCTTTAGGCTGATCCAGACTTTATTCACGTCCACTGGGGATAGCGCTAACCCAAGAAAAACGGTGTGCTGACCCTCTGCCAGACCACAATGAGCAAAGGAAAGTTTGTGGACCGACTGTGAGATGGTTAAACTGTGAAGCAGCACTCGACTTTCACAGCTGTGACATCCTTTATTTTTACGATCCTTATGAGCTTATGATGACGCCGTTGCTGTGAACCTAACCCCATACCGACATGCGCGGGGATGCGTTGCCTATTAAAATTCTGCATCACTTAGAGCAGCGTGAAGAACAAAACAACATCTTATCTTAAGCCGCGTTTCGGTGCCGCTCATAAAACAGCATGGAGTCCTTTTCTTGAAACAATCATGTTCCAATGCTTTAGGTTTTATAACGTCCATATACACAGCTTCCCTAAAATGTCAAACAGGACTGTAGTTATGAGGTAACTGGCTTATTTTTTTTCCTTTTCCTTCTACGGGACGAGGGATTTCCATAGGCTCAACGTTTGACCCGGCAGTAACTCAACCCTTTTCTTATTTGCTCATATGCAGTGAACTCATTTACCCCAGTTCATCTCAGCTGCTTAAACATGAAACCCTCTTGATCCTATAACATTGGCCTTAAATCCTGCTGGTCTCATGAGATTTGACATAAATGCATATGTTTGGTGGGGGAGGGGAGTTGAGGGCTGTTGGGTGTTCAGGGTTGCCTGCAACCTCATTTCCATTCATGGATTTCCTGCAGAGATGCCCCGAGACCCCACATTGCTTCTGGATGTTTCCCATCAGACAGAAAACAACAAAGGCATAAAGGGGATGTAGGAGTCACAAGTGGATAACTGCTGCACATGATTAACGCATGCCTCGTGTTTATCAAGCCCTGCTCCCTTCTGTTATTCTAATGCTCTGTGCAATAAAGGTCTGGAGGTTCCCGTAACTCATACTAACACTGCAGCTGTTTAGTCTGGATTAGTGTGTGCTATATTTAATTAGCAGCGGTCTTTGGAGACCATCTTGTCCTCATGTATCACTCAGGTTGGTCTTAATCCCACGTTTTATGCCTCTGGGTTGTAAATGCCTCGACGTCAATACATTATCCAAGGAATCTGTGAATAAAGACAGCGATTGGCCAACAATGATATGACATCTATGTTAACCTACATCCTTCATCCATCAACCTACATTTCCATGTCCTAGTTTTATGGTTAGCAGCTAGCGTGGAAAATTGATCGTAATGTACAGATCGGTGTTCAGTAATCTAGGATGTTACCCAACAGGAAGTGGACCACTCTCTAGGTCCTCAACGTTCTGAAAAACCTAAGTAGATAAAACAGAAAAAAATGATTTTTTGTAGAATGGCAGTGACGCTGAAAATGATGGGTAGCAGATTGTAGATAAAACACAAAAAAATGATTTTTGTAGAATGGCAGTGACGCCATGAATGATGATGAAAATGATGGGTAGCAGATCAGTACATATCTTGTTATCTGTAAAGATTAGAACCATTGATCTCAGTCAGTGTCTGACTATGTTAGGTTGGAGCCTAACTCTACAAGGAGGTCTCTGATCCAGGTTTAAACTGGCTGAAGCGCCTCATATTTGATTGATTTGACTGAAAACCTTATAGTGTACCTTTTAGCGTCACTTTTAGTGCGGCGTCAAAGCAGGGAACTTCCTCAGCGCATACCCGTCTATAATTGGTGGCTGCTTTAACGAGAGGTGATAGTAATGGAACGTGACCACTGCGGCTCTGTGGTTGGTCTTTTCCTCTTCCACAACCTCGCTGAATGCTGAGGCGGGTGTGGGGGTCAGAGGTCGCCTCTTTCTTCACCCCAGCTCAAATAAGTCAAACTGTTACAGCTCCTGGGGGAGACCTCCTCCAACTGGAGCAAAGGAGTAGGTAGGTCCCTCTGATCATGTGACGCGCTGCCCCTTGTTTTTCCACAACATTCAAAGCCGAGAACGGAAAAGCTTCCTCTATTTTTCAGCATTCAAGGAACAGTTTTGTTTGTTTGAGGAGCAAAGTGGTGTTTTCATTTTAGGAAAGGGTTAGCGTTTCATGCTATGGAGTGGCGTCTGTCTGCTGTATTTTGAAAAGTGAGCCCGGGCATTTCCTTTAAGCTCAAATCATCTTTGACTTTTGCTTTGGGGAACATGATAGATACCCCCCAAATGGGGTGTTGTAACATTAAATCTCCATGAACGTTCCACTTGTTTTCATTTCTACATAAATGGCTTTTCCTACGGTTGAGATTTCAAGTGTTTTCAATCGTTGAAAGGCAAACTCAAGTATCGGAGAAAGGTTTTTGATGTGGCCTGATCCAGCCAAGGGGCCATTGTTTGGATTGCAGTCATTACCTGAACCTCATTAGTTTGCAATGAGGCATACGCTATTAGCAATGATTGATCTCAGCTTTGGAAACCAATGTTAAAAAACAAATTGGGTGCTAAATATGAATTTGCTTTACAGCGGTTTCTTATTCGTATAAATGGTCGGCCTTCATCACCTTTACAGCAGTTTACTCAGGAGTCAAAGAGACCGTATGTTTTTAAGTCTCATAAAAAAACAACATTTGCAGAATATATATATATATACATATAGAACCAGCATTTGAGTCATGTTTAACACTTAAATATGGCCTAAACTCCCGAAACCTGGCTGACCTAGTGATGGGCTTGGCAAAGATTTATACTTTGCCAGGAATACGTAGAGTGGTGAATTACTGGCCTTTACTGGCCCACATGTGGTGCTCAATGGTCCTTATCTGGTGCCTGCCTTCTATCCCTGTCTTAGGCCAGGACCTGTTTTTGGTCAGATATTATGACCTAATGTGGCCTTATTACAACCATCAGGTTTGGATGATGGTGTGTTGGAGGAGGCACTGTGTGTGTGTGACTGGTTATGTTTAATAACCAATAAAGCAGATTTTCTTCAATTTCACAGTCGTAAATTAGCAGTTAATAAAATTGAGCTGTTGTTTCTGACATGTCTAACCCTGATGTGCTAGTAGTAGCAGAATGCAGCCAGATTTTGAAAGCCAAACTTACCAAACACATTTGTGACCTAATTACTTTTTTTACCACATGTGGGCTGCTGAAGTCAATAAGAGATGTGTGGTTCAGTCACAGATCCAGACCAATTTGCCATTTCTGTGGTAATTAAACCAGTGGGAGCTGATGTACGTGTTTAAAAAACTGTCTCTCTTCTGAAATGGTAGTAAAATAAAGTTTCTCTGGCTGTAAAAGTTAGTGCTTGTCCTCTAGTGTGCGTGACTTTCCGGTTGATATTTGTTAGCTCTCACTGGAGACCTTTACCTAACGGAAACTGAAAAGCTGTGACTTTTCAGGAGTTTTCAAACAACTAAAGTTCACAGACTGCTCTTAAATGCCTCTGTAACATTTAGATTACACCGATGATGCGCAAAAAGCCCAAGTTTTATTAGTCTGTTGTTTCAACAGCACTTTTAAAGGAAGCAGGATGTGCGTTACTGACCAACTCGACTTCAACCAACTCATTAATCTGGTCCAGATTTTTTTTTTTTTTTTTAAACACAGCCATAATCCTTTTCACATGTTCAGTAAAGGCTACACATCGTCATTTGGTGGTAAAACATACTGTGGGAATAAAGTGGTCCAGCTTTACATCCTTCATATATGAATCCACAAGAGAAATTAATTGGTTTTTGTATGAATAACTTCGACCCTCTGCTGTATTTAAAGACTGATTATAGTCACACGGGGGCTGTGGTGTCCATTTAGCTCCATTATTCACCCTTTCTTAGCTGGAGTACATGGGCTCCTTTGGCACTGGTACTGATTTATGCAAACACCCAAGCCCTGCTGCTCCTTTCACATGAACCCCCTGCTGAATACGAGTCCCCACTGAACCACAAAATAGTTTTCTGTAAATAAATATTGGGACATAAATAATATTTGTAGAGCTGGGCAGCAAGCTGTTCAAGGGAGCCGCTCCTACGCCGCAGCATCCAGTCCTCCAGCAGCAGTGCTCTTCTACACGGAGATTGTGTAATAATCCTCCACGCTGTTGCACACTAAATACCACAAAGTCTCCCCTACGACAATCGTCTCCTGACCTCGTGAACGCCTCCTGCTGTACCTCTCCGAGGGGTAAATTACCACCTGACAGGACCACCCTTTGTTGTCTTAGAGACCGGTGTGCGAGAGGCCTGATCTGTCAACCTGTCACAGCTGGAGGTTCTTGTTGCCGACATCCAATACTTTGTCAAAATGATCAGATAGTACGCCCCACAAAATAAGCTCCCTGCTACCACAGGGAAGTCCTCCGCATCAGGGGAGGCATCAAAGCAAAGCCCAGGCTCCGCTGACACATTTCACTTTTCACTGACGTCTTCTTCAACCTCCACAAGTCCAATAACACAAACAGTGGAGTGAAAGGTGAGAAGATGACAGCAGAAGGGGAAGAAAGGAACAGGAGGGCGAGAAGAAGGTGGGGTGAAAAAAATTCGGAAGGAATTTTTCATCAATATTCCGAAGGGTTCGGAAGGAAAATACAAACCACTTGTTATAACAGGAACTTGAAATGTATAGCTTGTAGCAGTTTGTCCTTTTAGCGTCTTGCTTGGTTTCAGAATCACACGGCCATAATTAGCCACAGATGGAGACGCATGCAGCTGTTCTGTCAGGATTTGAGGCCTTCTCTCTTTAAGCAGCCTTTCTCCTGCTAAGGCACCGTCGCTCTCAGATTTAACCTAACGGGTACTGGATATTCACAGCGAGACCTTCCCTGATCAGCTCCTGCTTCACAATCCTATTCCCTCGTTCTGGAGCATGTCAGTCGTACAGATGTGCAACTTGACAAACTGTCTCCTAAAGAAGAGGTGCACAATTTACGATTATGTTACGGCCTTAAAACAGTGCTTTCCATCCACATGTGAAATATGGGGCGGTGTGAAAAGTGACAGCTTTTTGGAACCGTTGATTCCCCAAGTTATTTTTTCACATCTCGTAATATTTTATTTTAAACAACAGGGCTTTAGCATCTGAATGCTTGTCTGTCAAACAGCTGTCACAGAATTTGTATCTAAGGAGAACATTTTCTCAAGAGATTTTAGACTTTGTTTGTAGGTTTATGAATATCATTCTGTTAAACAAACTGTATTCAACGCCCCCTGTTGTCAACGATAATGCGTAAATGTTGGTTTTAATGGTCTGTAATAGTAATAATCCAACTGAAATTAATAAAAGGCAGTAAAAGTAATGACATAATGCGTAAATGTTGGTTTTAATGGTTTGTAATTGGTTAATAATAATCCTACTGAAATTTATAAAAGGCAGTAAAAGTAATGAGCTATAAATAAATGTTTTAGGACATCAGTGTCTAATTAAACTCGTCAACATCTCCTGCCTCCACAGTTGTTCCAAACAGTACTAAAGCAGTGGAAGAAGAGAAGAGGTTCCGCGACTGCGCCGACCTCTACCAGGCTGGCTTCCGCAAGAACGCCGTCTACACCATCCACATCAATCCACAAGAGACCAAAAAGGTGAGAAGCTGTGAAGAAGAAGTCTCAGCCGGGCCTCAGCTGTGATGTTTAAATCTGTTTTCATCTCCTTCAGAAAGCTCTTTGAGATTTTCACTCCTCGGTCAGTTAGAAGTCAACGTGATGAGTGTGAACGATAAGAACGAGCTGCCGCAGAAACACTGAGAAGCTTGAAATACTTTTGGAGTGAACTGACTCTGCCAAGAAACTACTGGAACAGGTGTTAAACGCTGCACTGAACAGTTAGGGAAGGTGAAAACAGCTACAGAGTGTCTGAACTTTGCTGACTAGCAAACAAAGGTTTAAATTTGCACAATTCCAAAAAAAATTCTAACTTCTATCGTCGTCTGCCCTCGGCATATAAAGTAAGACGGGGAAAAGAGAAAAAAAAAAGTGAAGCGAAAAGAAAAACGGCTTGATGAAAAGTCGTAATTTATTACCCGTATTAGCAAATTAGGGAACAGTTGGTGGTGATGAAAGGGCAGAAACGACAGGAGACACAACAAAGGTTGTCTCTGAAAAAGAGTAAATCATTAAAGGAGTGTTTATACTCGATCTAAAGTGGGGAGAGCCTGTGGTTTTCACCGTGCTCATACCCAGTGAATGATGGACCCGTCTTGGGGTAAAATTATTCTGTCAGGAATACTTCCTTAATTACACCCAGACTGTGTTTGTGTGTGTTCAGCTGTGAGCACTGGCTGATGTGAGGGTCCTTCTCTGCTCCTCTCTGGGTTCTCTTCCTTCTCCTCAAAACAAAGAGCTGTGCCACAGATAGAGGCAGGGACCCGGCCTTATCAGCTTACACACACCGAGGTCCAAGGTTAAGGGCCACATTACACCCAGGTGTCTGCTGGTATGTGTCCGTTAAGGCCTGGACCTCCACTTTGATCCTGCAGAAACAAGGCTCTCTGATGAGAAACATCTCTCGGGAGCTGCCGAGGGATAAGGAGACGCTGATTGTGTGTGAGGAGCAGACAGATAGGTTCGCATTCCCAGCAATGAGTCATCATCAAGGAGTGTTTGGAAATAATTGACCTTATCATTGTCTATAAAGCCACTGAGACTCAGGCTGAATATTTAATTCCTCACCCTAGTGGATACATTATGTACTGGTCCTTTTTTCATCTTTGTACGAGGGCTGTTAAACTTTCCCAAAAGATAGGTCCAAGAAACTAATATTGACACGCTAGACTTTAGATGATTCTGGAAAAAATAATGCCTTTTGTGTCCTGCCAAAAACACACAACAAAATAAATCTTGATGTGATTTATTTTTAATTTTCTTTTTTTTTTTTTCTGGTGCTTGTTTGTTATCGGTATTACTCTGTGCAGACACAAAGGAATCTAATAGACTGAATGAGTAACAAAAGTGATGTTGAATGTAACTGTCTTCCTCTAGTGTTTTCCAACAGAAGCATCTCTAGTTAGGAATACTTGCTACAGGGATGGCAATTTTTTTTGACCGTTCTGGTTGGATGTTTGCTGATTATTTTATTTACAATAACATTACTATATGTCTGAATGAGTTAACTGCGTGTTCTCCCTGTGCAGGCACAGAGGCATTGGTAGCCAGTAGGCAGTTTTTCTGTGGTGACGAGATATATTTTATATTTGACATACAGCATTCTAGCTTTCAAAGTACTTTGCCAGATTGAGTAAGAAACAAAGTACAGAAGCAATACCACAGTGACGAAGTAATATATTTTAAGTTCTGTCGAACTCTCGAACCCGAAAATCACCACATTTATGATGCTTAAGGGATGCATTCGTCTGTGCAAAAAAAAAAGTTGAACTCGCTTGCCAACAGCTTAACAAACACTTCTAGAACTGAACTTCTACCCTTTTAGATATTAAATTAAAAAAAAATAACCCTGTACGTACATATTTTTTTCCTCCTTTTTATTTCATTAGGTGTTTTGCAACATGGAAACAGCCGGAGGAGGATGGACAGTCATCCAGCGCAGAGAAGACGGCAGTGTGGACTTCCAAAAAACGTGGAAGGAGTACAAGACGGTGAGTGGACACCGACTCTGTCTCCCGCTGTCCAGACACTCGTTCATATTAATTAAAAGCAAATTACGAAACGGTGTGATAAAGAACATCCTGTGTTAAAAATACGCCTCTTGTTGGTGGATTGAGACAAACGTCTCGCTCTTTATGGTCTTTAGAATGTGTGGAAAACACAGACAGGAACTACCAAAACCCAGGAATATTTACAGCAGTCGGACCAGATGTCATTCCTCTTTAGCAAATACCTCCTCTGTTATTGCTGTGTTTGCAGAATTACTCAGTGTCCTCACATGAGAAAGCAGCTCTCTGCTGTTGTTTTTTTTCTCCCACACTGGGATTTGAATGAACCTCATAAAAAGTGTTTTTTTTTTTTTATTATTTGTTTGTCATCAGGAAAAAAGTGTTTACCTTTGTGGCCTCCGTTGGCCAGTTTGTTGTATAATTTACTTTTTTTTTTCTTTTTAACCCATATGTTTATGCCACATTAATTTGTTCTTCCTTGACTTATCGTCTATAATACAATTAAATATTATTCATTATTCATCATTAGTTGTGAAAATCAGATTTGGGACGAGAATATGTTTCGATCTTTGTCTCAATGTGATGGTTGAAAAAATCGTCCATATCGAGTAATTTGAAGTTCTCAAACGAATTTAAAAAAGATTAGCCAACACTGAGCAATAAAATAGCCAAAATTTAAAAAAACTGACAATAAACAGAGGAGCTAATATTTGCCATGTGATTTAAAAAAATTGTAAATACAAGGACACAGGACAAACATTATTATAGTTATTATTAGTTTGTCAAATGTCAAAAAACAACCAACCTGCTAAGAGCTAGCACACACTAATAAAACGCCAAGAAGTTGGAAGGTTCCTCCAAAAATCTAACAACAACACATTTAAATGTCTGCATAAATGTAAGAGATGAAGAGGTGAATGTGAAGGCTAAAAATTCAAAGCCATAAAAGACAACGGCGCCGCCACCTCCCAGGTTTAAACAGGTGTAAAGACGGAGCTCAAAAAGACCGGTTACAGCACATGAGGGAACAGTAAGAGAAGCAGAGAGAGATGTTCAAACCTCCGCTGCAGCAAAGCGTGACTGTTGGTTGGTCTTAAAAAGGCCGGGGGTGATCAGTGATGTTTTATAGTGTTATTAAGTTTTTCATACTCGGTCCCTCACGAGGCTTGTGCTCACACATTTTATGTTCTTGGAGGATTGGTAAATGTTTTACTGAGAAATGCACTGAAAGATGCTGTTTCTTTGGAGGGTGTTGGGGAGGGAGGTGGGGGGGGTATTTTGGCAATACAAGTGCAATAGCGCACATATTTAAACAATATCTTAGGACCAGCGATGTTTCATAACAAGGTCACAAATCACAGCAGAGCATACCCGAGGACTGGCTGTTTTGTCTATTTAAATATGTAAACATTGCTCCCAGTGGTGGAGTTTGCTAGCTAGCTGTCAATCCAGACATAAAGTTGACATATAACAGATGTAGGTGTCTTCAAAACATCAGGGAGAGAGAATGGGAAAAGATGTTATTTATCAAAAGCAGTGTATCGACTTCGGCACCCACTGTCTGCACGGGTGTGTGCCGCAGATTTAGTTGTAGATTTATTTACGAACCCTGTTCAGATCCTGCTCAGATTTTCAACTTAAAGAAAACCCGACATTTATCTTCATTACGTATTTAATACGTTCTAAAACATTGGGTAGAAGTGAGGCTCTGTGATCAATTCAGATTTCTGTTGCTTTGTTGTTGACATTATAGTTTAAATTCAACCTTCAATGATCTACGCACAGATGCAGATATGACATCAGCTTTCCGGACAGCCCCTCACATCAGGTTTGCATGATAAACTTTGACAACCTTGTTCTAGCCAATAACTAGCCTTAAGGTCCGGCAGCTGTTAGCATCTTTCACTACAACATATGGTTAACGTTTCCTAAGACAATCGTCTGTCAGTTTTGGTCAGAATTAGTAAGTCTTCGGACAAATTGACACTGTGGGACTTTCTGTGATGTTTCCAAAGCACAGTTTTAACCTGACCTAACATGTACCTGTCCTGCCTGCAGTCCAGATACACCTCTCTAACAACTGACACATCACAAGGTGGAAAATTACACCGAGAAAACTAGTGACTGTGGAGTAACGCAACTGTATGGTACAGCAAGAACAGGCAAACGAATCCAAACAAACCCAAAATAGCAATAAGGCAAACTGATCAGAGTGTATTACAACAATATGACAAATCAGTCTACCCTGTTTGCATGTGAAACATCACAAAAGAACCAACAGAGCAGCAGCTGAAGTTTGACTCCAGGGCTGTTCTGTAGCCAGAAGTCTGCAGATTAACCACAGTCTCAGTGGGAGGTTCTGGACCGAGCTGAAAGTCCAGGAGGAAGGAGCTTCTCATCAGCAGTTCTAATGATGAGAGAAGAAAAAGAAAGCAGAAGAGAAGCTTTCTC